CGGAGTCTGTAACCTGAAGTGTATGTAACCTGAAGTGTATGTAACCAGAGGTACCACTGTATATGGGAAACCAAGCTTTAAAATGCTGGTTGCCAAACACTTCAGTCCTCATAACATTTACTGGGAAGTAAGTCCCACTGATTTCATTCCACATAACTGGACCTGAAGCTGTATCTCGAAAGGTCACTCAAATAATTTCTGTTAAGCATGAGTAGTTCTATTAAAGTGAAGCAGGGCAAAGCATGTTATTAAGGTAGATGAATGCTTGTTTATACAATGAAGTAGCTAGAGCGAAAGCAGAAGATTGTGGCCTGTACGGCTGATTTTCTTTATACCGTTTCTAAGCTATCATTAGACCTGCTCATGGCGATGAACGTCGGCTGCTTTGGTGGGATTTCGTTAGCTTCCTTGTTTCTTTAGCTGAAATGTTTATAGGCTAAAAGGGGGGTCATCTTACGAAGACCGTCATCATTTCATGTTTCAAGCCAACTTCGCAGTGCATATTTTAGGAAGTGCATGACAGTAATAATTCTGGGAGTATTTAGGTAGTCAAAATGTTCCCAGTGCTTCTATGGAATAACACGGTCTATCTGATTGTGTGGCTATAAAGCCCTGTTCATATATCTGCTGCACTGAAGGATAACGCTTAGATAAGCTGTGAGGTTACATGCTGCCCAGCTCTGCCTCTCTGATCTCTGCCTGTTTGGTAAAGGTCTTAAGGGGGAAGACAGCTTGACTTCCATAGGTTCCTTCATGTGACTAGAAGCCCCTCATAGATGGGGCTCCCAGCCACGTGGAGGAGTCTGTTTGAGGAAACCTGGATCTCGCCTTCACTCAATGTGATCAGAGGGGTGAAGCTGTTCAGGTGTGGGGATTGCTGCATTTCTGTCTGTTGAATGCCTGTTAACGGCACAGAGACTACAGTCATACCTTGGGTTACAGTTGCTTCAGGTTGCGTTTCTTTCAGGTTGCGGACCGCCGAAACCCGGAAGTACCGGAACGGGTTACTTCCGGGCTTCGGCGGTTGCGCATGCGCAGAAGTGCTAAATTGTGCTTTGTGCATGCACAGATGCGCATCCCACACAGATCACGCTCACAACCCAAGAGTCCACTGTATTGGGGAAAAAGGTCAATCTCATATATCATCTTCCTTGTAACTTAAACTTCCGCCTTGCTAGTTTCTGCTATGTTATCCTCAGTCTGTCTTTCTCTGTCTTTCAAATTCTTTTCTTTTCTTCTAAATTCCCTCCTACAACTTATTACTTTGGTAGCCTTATTAAAGGGACGTGTTCACTTGTCCAATCAACGTGTGGACAGGATTGCACCCACTAGTTCTCATGCCAAGCCTGTATGCTCCAGTTGGCATCCAGACTTGCAGTGCAAATGTTTGGAGGCAGAGAACATTTGTGCATTCCATGTGATCTGGAACCCTGAGGATACAATGTGCTGTATGTGAGAATGCCAGAGGTGGAGCTAACTGGAAGGCACAATGTCAAGGGCAGGGCTGATCAGTGGGGCCTCACTCCTATAACCATAGACTTCTAGAGATGGAAGGGACCCCAAGGGTCATCTGGTCTAACCCCCCGCAATGCAGGAATCACAGCTAAAGAATCCCAGACAGATGGCCATCTAACCTCTACTTAAAAACCTCCTATGAAGGAGAGTCCACCCACCTACCTTCTGAGGTAGTCCTTTCCACTGTTGAACACCTCTTACTGATTAATGTGTGAGCAGATCACCTGGATGTGGAAGGGGCCATATAGTTAAGTGTAGATAATCTACTCACTAATGAGCTAGATGCATCAATGGTGTGGCTCAGAATAAGTCAGCTTCCTATGTTCCTAATAGAATCTGGACCTTTGCTTGATCTCTGGAGCAACTGCTTTTCTGGGTTCTATGCTATTTTCTCCCAGATGTCCACAACACTCTTAACAAGCTCTGCTATCTTCTTTAATTCATTTCCCTTTTAATTTCTATGATGGAGGTGGAGGAACAAGCTTTGCACGTGGCAGCAAGTGTCCAAAGAGTGTATGCATGAGTTGGTGGGATGTTCTTTGTCGCCATCGAGGTGGGGGTGGGGAGCTGCAGAAGTTCCCACTCACGTCATTGTGCCCCCACTTTCCAGCACTTCTTGTCCTAATAACTCTGGTAGCGTTTATTCCCGGCTAAATATGCGTGGGATTGCAGACTGCGCCTCTTTGAAATGTGCCTAGCAGTACCGACATGCTACTACATGTAGAAGTTTCGGCAGGAAGTGGCATTCAACACAACACTGACTCCAGGCTCCTCCCTTATTCTGTGGAGAAAAGTCCTGAACAACAGTGCTAAATCCAAGCAGTCACCCTTATACAATTGTGTTAGATATTTGTTTAAAGATATATCCTGCCTTGTTGCAAGACTTGAGATGAATTAGTACACTGGGCAAGATAAATTCTCTCTGTCTCTGTCAGGAAAGAACAGAGAGTCCTGCAAAATTTACAGAAATAGGCTTAGCTATTCAGCCATCCTCTGCCAAATGCTAGTTTGCAATAATTGCTTTAGCTAATATGGGCTGATGAAATCGAATTACATGCTTTGTCAGCGCTCCTGTACTACTCTATCCATGCTCCAAGCACAGTGATGAACATCGGACAAGGGTTTTACCTTTACTGCATACCTGTTCCTTCCTGCATCCTCAAAGCACTGGTAACTCATTAACATCCAATTGCCTTATGTGTATGTAATTGCATTTGTTTTCTCACATTGACATCATTCCTCACTGACATCACATGAAAGAGCCAGTATGGTGTAGTAGAGATTAGTGTTGGATTAGGACCTGGAAGACCAGAGTTCAAATCTCCACTCAGCCATGAAGCTCACTGGGTAAGCATGGGCCAGTCACCATCCTTCAGCCTAACCCACCTGACAGGGTTGTTGTGAAGATAAAGTGGTGGTGGTGGGGAGAATCATGTACGTCACCTTGAGCTGCTTGGTGGGATATCTGTATAAAACCTCGAATTAATAGTTTTTTTAATCTGCTGCAAAGTATAATTGCTGTGGCATTTGTAGGTATGTAAAGTTAAGTGCTTACAATTACTGATTTGTTATTGTTTGTCGATGATTTTACTGATGGCTTAAATGTTTCTTGTAAAGTGTTCACTACAATTTTACTACAATTAAGAGGCATATACTTTTTGTTCTATATATTACTATTTTGTTAACTGCTCTGTGCTCCTATAGGACAAAGGGAAATCTAGAAATGCAATTCATAAAAATGTGGTTTCTTAGATTTTACTTTTTATTCCAACCAAATTATCTTCCCCTAGATCAATTGACTCACAGAACATTTTTACATGTCCCATCATCCAAAGTCCCGTGGGCACTGTTAATTCTCCACTGGATTCCTCGTGCCATCAGTTTCTTCAAATTAATTTTCAGTAGAGCACTTTCAGAAACACTCTGTCTCAAAGCCAGTTTGTGATATAAAGTTCCCAGACAGGTGTAGCTGAGTCACACCTGCATGGCATCACCCACACTTGACATGTTTGCTGCAGAAACACCTGTAGAACACATGTGTATCTGCAGTAGTTGTATCTGAAGAAGTGTGCATGCACACGAAAGCTCATACTAAGAACTAACTTAGTTGGTCTTTAAGGTGCTACTGGAAAAAATTTTTTTGTTTTGACTATGGCAGACCAACACGGCTACCTATCTGTAACTGCAGTAGTTGGTTTTCCCTTGTGAAGCAGACAGAGAAGTCCTGCTCTTTGGAGATCTCTTTGGAATGCATTCAGTAACAGGTCAACCGACCATGACTAATTTTTTGTCTTTGCAATATAAATCTGAAAGCTGCCATAAACGCTATTGAAGAGTTTCATGCAAAAAAACCCACCACCACCTCGCACATTCACTTCCTGCCAACTGTGCAGCACCTGTGCAAATTCTAGATGGATGCCCAACGCAGAGAAGAGGAACAGCTCAAAGATAGTGGCACTGCCCACACAAAGGAAGGATGCATGCACCAATGTGATAAACAGCAATGCTTCTTGAATTTGCAAAAAAAGAGAGAAAAGCACAAAAAAGGAACACAGGGAGCATTATTGTATCCTCATTTAAACAAATGCCAGGCTCCCAAACAGTTCTGAAAACGTGCTGGCATATTGAGGCGCAAACCTGCCAGCTTGGTTGGGCTACGGCATCTTTTGTGACCGGCTGACACTCAACAAAGGAAGCATTTCTCAAGTTGGAAACGTAAGGTGCTTCAAGATGACGTATTTACTGCACATTCATCCTGACATGTTTGCAGGGAGATGAGATGATGTTTGGCTATTTCACTGAGCACGCATTCTGCTTGGTTGGTGGGGAGGTTAGATGATGTTGCCTATTCCTGTCCCATTCCTTCTCACCAAACATCCAATCTTCCGGGAAAGTGAGTTTGTTGCCCAAGTCCTCCCAACTGACCGTAATTGCCCCACCTGAATTTGCTGGTATGCCACTGAATCCCACCCCAAGATAGCAACAATCTGGAAGCAAGCGATTCACAGGATGTTGTTGTAGTTATTGTGGTTGTTGTTGTTTACTATCCCATCAAAGTACGGTATTGGAGACAGTCTTCTTCCCTGAATGCTTTCGAGTCCCATTTGAGAAAACTGTACAACTCTGCAGCCTGCTACCCTAACAACCATTTTGAATCCTCCCTCTATTGCTTTATCTTCTTACATACAAGCACATTTATCCTCCCTGACCATTTCCAAAGAGGGGCTAAGGCTGTCAGCCTGCTGCAAGCAAGGACTCTAATGGCACTTTCAAGACTTTTTTAAGCTTTCGGAGAAGACAAGCCAGTTCGCCAGATAGATAAGGAAACCCTATTATTTCCCCCCATTTTCTTTTAAGGTGCCACAAGATCTCTTCCTGCTTCTGTCCCCCAGATCCCCCTCGTGCGCGCCTCCGAGAAAGAAACAGCCTCTGCGCCTTGGCGTAAAAGCGCGAGAGGAAAACAAGGGACGCGGTTCAAACCATACCTGAACTTCTGTCCCGCTGGCACCGTGATTTTATTGAACTTGTCCATGCTGCCAGGCGAGGCGACTGCCTCGGACAAACGGGCATCCGAGTCGGCAGGGACTGAAGGGGGCTTCCCGGCTCGTTCCCGAGAGAGAAAGGCTGGATTCCCGCTGATGACTCCCCTGGCTGCTTCGCCTCCTCGCGGATCCCCTTAGCGCCGCCTTTGCGCGCGGCCCGCCAGGCGACTCCTCGTGTGTTGGGACGAGAAGCAAAACTTGCCCGAGCGCCCGGCCGGGTTTCATGTTTCGAGGGGTCATGTGACGGAGCCAGCTCGGCTGGCAATAGGGTGTTTGTGCAAACTTGAAGCAGATCCGCACCTATTGGGCGTGTCCAAAACCACCCCCGTCTGGGGCTGAAGTCCTTCCTGACGTCCTGGCGGCTTTGCGGGCGTTTCATGCCAGGGATCAAGCTGGTTGCTGGGAACACTTCCTGCCACCGTCCCGGGGCTTTGAAGCGGCTGCTACCTGGAACAGTTTCCTGCACATTCTGCTGCCCTGAAAGGCCCTCCTCTCTTGCAAAGGGATGCCTCGCCTGTCCCCGACAACACACAAAGTTCGCTTTGCAGAGCCTCCATGTTCCAGTGCAGACTACCTCGGAATACCAGATATTGGAGACAAGAAACCGGGAAGGGTTCTTCCTGGTGTGATTCTATGAAGAGTTCTTCCTGGTGTGCCCGGCCGACTTGCTGATGGAGAAGGAATGTTGGTTTTCTGTGGATCTGTGCCCAGAGGACTCTCCTTATGCTCCTTCCATAAAGCGGGCTGCATCCAGACACCTTTGGAATCCCATTCTTATTATTGTCGTAATACTTATATCTCACCTTTCTTCCAAAGAGCTCAAGGTGGTGTACATAGTTTTCATTCCAGCACCTTTTATCCTCACAACAACCCTGTGAGGTAGGCTGGGTTGAGGGGCAGTGACTGGCCCAAGGTTCACCCAGTGATCCTTCTTCATAGCCAAGTGGGGATTCGAACTCTGCTTTCTCAGGTCCTAGTCTGACACTCTTAACTGCTACACTGCAGTGCCTCTCTTTCAGTGTGGCGGATCTGCGCAGATTGCGCCTTCTGTGCTCATGAAAGGCAAGCATATTCTCTTCCGTGTCGATTTCAATGTGCGCGCATCATGCTTCCCATGATCATTTCATGGGAAATTTAAGATGCTGCATCTTAAAAAGCAGAGACATCACCTTGCCAACAAAGGTCCGTATAGTTAAAGCCATGGTTTTCCCAGTAGTGATGTATGGAAGTGAGAGCTGGACCATAAAGAAGGCTGATTGCAGAAGAATTGATGCTTTTGAATTATGGTGCTGGAGGAGACTCTTGAGAGTCCCATGGACTGCAAGAAGATCAAACCTATCCATTCTGAAGGAAATCAGCCCTGAGTGCTCACTGGAAGGACAGATCCTGAAGCTGAAGCTCCAATACTTTGGCCACCTCATGAGAAGAGAAGACTCTCTGGAAAAGACCCTGATGTTGGGAAAGATTGTGAGGGCACAAGGAGAAGGGGATGACAGAGGACAAGATGGTTGGATAGTGTTCTCGAAGCTACCAGCATGAGTTTGACCAAACTGCGGGAGGCAGTGGAAGACAGGAGTGCCTGGCGTGCTCTGGTCCACAGGGTCACAAAGAGTCGGACACAACTAAACGACTAAACAACAACAACAACAACAACGTACACACACTTCCATTTACCCTGCATCCAACGTGCACCCACCACTGCTTGGGCAAGCGCTGTACAAACCATATCCTGCAGGTGCCCTGTTGTTTCTTAGGAAATGCTGTGTTTTGAAGCATTTCTCCTAAAGGAACTTTGATGCATATTGGGGGGGGGGGGAAGAATGACCAAGCTGTGTTTTAAGTCAGTAATGCACACACACAATCTTAGTCTTTGCCAACCGGTATCTTTCTTGAAGTGCCTATTCATTTGCGCTACCTCATTGCTTTTGGCACAGGACTGATTCTGAAAAGAAAGTGTAAAGGGAGGGTTAACATGGGAATGCAACGTGCTGACCCCCTCCCTTGGCAGGAAAAGAAAGGTCACCCAGGGAGTGTTAGCAGCAAACACACACTGATCTAAACAAAGGCGAGGGGCTGTGAAGATACCGTGTAACGTGGCAACTGGATTTTGCAACACTACCCTTTGTTCCTCTTCGATGAGCAAGAACAGATTTTGCGAAGGAACTTGAAAAGTGAGGGGGCTGCATGTTAACACACTGTTAAACCTGGAACCAGGCAAAAACTGTCAGCTGATTGTGGTAGCAGCCACAGCAGTGGCTGGAATGAACTACAGCTTGTGTGCACGCATGCTGAAATCTCGTCAGTGGGATGGTGTGTGAAATGGGTGAATACATTTCCTATTTTAAAAAAATACTTAAATAGGGTCAGGGTTTAGGATTTGGACTATGTTTACTGCATGGGGAGGAGGAGATGAACCATACCACAGTCGTGATGTACCCACAGATAGTTGCAAAGCTGCTATTTGCCTTGGAAGGAAAGCTACCAGTAGCACCAATGGCTGAACAGCAGTTTGGGAGTCGAATTTACATTGGGAGTCTGGCATAACTCAAACAGTTGGAGAGTTACAGAGCTCAAGTAGGACTTTTGGAAAAGTAAAGGACCCTTGGATGGTTAAGTCCTGTCAAAGGCGACTATGGGGTGCTGTGCTTATCTCGCTACAGGCTGAGGGAGCTGGCGTTTGTTCACAGACAGCCTTCCGGGTCATGACTAAACCACTACTGGCACAACAGAACACTTTTGGAAAAACAGCAAGCAATGCACTTTCATTGCTGCTGGCCACTGTCATGTAACAGACTCACACACCCACGCTGTAAATTTAAAGCACCTGGCTTTCCCCATCCTGGGTACTGTAGCTGACTTCTACAATTCCCAGCAGCCTTAGAAAATTGCAGTTCCCAGGGTTCTTTGGGGAAAGCCGCGTGCTTTGAATGTATGGTGCGGACACTGAACCTGGGCATTCAAGTCCAAGTGCAGAGGTGTATTCAGATGTTTTCCACATTGCATCCTGACTGGGTGCTGTTGGGAACTTCCCCCTCATGCCCAATGGAAAGGAACTGAGCATAGCACCACCCGCTCTGGTCCTATTCTGGTCAGTCATGTGAGCTGAAGCATCTTGTAGGGTCATGTGAAGATGCTTTGAGAAGAGTGCTTCCAGTCTTCACTGTAGTAATTGCACCATCCCTAATGCTGTGTCTGGGTGCTATAGATCTTATCACGCTCTTAAATTCAGGAAGATGCTAAAACTAAGCAGCTTCTTCAGTGCGCCTCCAACCCCTGTTCTTTGCTATCTGACATTCACACAAAAGCTCATACCAATAACTAACTTAGTTGGTCTCTAAGGTGCTACTGGAAGGATATTTTTTTTATTTTATTTTGTTTTTGCTACTTTGTGTGCCTCTTGGAGTTTCACAATGTCACCACCTGGTTTCAACCATGAGGGTTAGAAACCTAATTCCAAAATGAATCATTTCTCTTCTTGTAAGGTTTTGTGACCTTGACAGATCCGTAAATGTTACACTGTACTTTACTCCTCACAGATGTACAGTTCCCAGCACCCAAACAAACTATGTTTCCCAGGCTTCTTTGAGGACAGTCATGTGTGTTAAATATACATACAGTCGTACCTCAGCTCCTGAAAGCTTTGGGAGTCTAACGTTCCAGCTCCCAAATGATCAAAAACTGGAAGCGATTGTTCCGGTTTTCGAACATTCTTTTGGAAGCTGAACGTCTGACAGGGCTTCTGTGGCTTCTGATTGGCTTCAGGAGCTTTCTGCAGCCAATTAGAAGCCGTGCTTTGGAAGTCAAACATTGAGGAAGTCGAACAGACTTCCGGAAGGGATTCTGTTTGGCTTCCGAGGTACGACTGTACATGCACAAAGATGGACAACTCCACCAAGATTTCTAATGCTGCAGGAGATGTGTTAAATTGTGTTTTACGATTTCAATATGTATGCGTTTTCTTTCTCATTCCCCTCACTTTTTCTTTTATTGCTCTTATATTATGCCCTTCCTCCTGATGCAAGTCCAGATTATAATAAGAGAAATTGGGGGGGGGGGGCACCCAGCAGAAGGTTTTCATTTTGATGCTTCAGTTACTTAAATGCCTCCTCTGCAAATGTGGCTCTAAAGGCAGCTGGGACATTTCTTTTTTGCACATTACAGTCCTGTAATGGGTAACTCAATTAGCAGATTTGGAGTAATTAGAGTTCTTGCTGGAATATGACAGAGCAATCACACAAGCTCTCTGGTCCTCAACCTGCTCATTCCAACCTGGTATTATTGAGGTTACCGTATTTTGCAGGATCTGCAAAATCTTCCAGTCCCAACATAAAAACCTTGGATGTCAATGCACATCCAAGATTCCTCGCTGGACTCCAGTTCCCCTTCAGTCCCAGCCAGCAAAACCAACGGCCAGGGATGTTGAGTGTTGCAGTGCAACAACATCTGGAGGGCCACACGTACTCCTTTTAGGTAGTAGAGTTCCACTTCTACTAGGAAACACTGACAGTCAGAAGGCATTCATGAAAACAGCACATTCTCATGCCGGATCTGTCTTCATGATTCACTTAGCAACTGTTCCAGCCACAGTTAATTTCCCCTTGAGAACAAAATCGCAGTTTGGAGGTACAGTTAACACTTCTGCTTTTATTATTTTTTAAAAATTATTTTGATTGCTTCTTCAGTCAGTGGGGGACTTTTGCTTCATATCAACTAAAAGGCTTGATTTTTTTTGCCTTACCTGTTATTATGCAGGAGAGATAGGGAAGCAGAGGCTCTCCATACTCTATTGGACTGCAACTCTAAAAATCCCTAACCATTGCCTATGCTGATGGGAACTGGGGCCCAGAAAGAGCTGGTGGTCTGCAGGTTCCCCATCCCTGAAATACAGGTTCACCCAATGGTGCTGTGGAGGCCTGGATCTTACCATATGTCGATTATAACTTAGACCCTAGGCTTAACTATTAAGCAGTGGTTTGAATCCGAGACTTCAATATGGAACTATTTTTGTTTAGAGATAATGTATTGTTTAACATCTCATTAAAGCAATATATATATATATTGTTTGTTGTTGTGTTTAGTCATGTCCGACTCTTTGTGACCCATGGAACAAGCACGCCAGCACTCCTGTCTTCACTGCCTCCCGCAGTTGGGTCAACTCAAAGTTTTAGTAGCTTTGAGAACACTGTCGCCAACCATCTTCGTCCTCTGTCGTCCCTTCTCCTTGTGCCCTCAATCTTTCCCACATCAGGGTCTTTTCCAGGGAGTCTTCTCTTCTCATAGGT